GAACCCACATGGCAGCTCACAACCACCAGCAACACCTCCTGGGAGGGGGACCGTATGCATACAGTACACAGGCATAAATGTAGTCAAAATACTCACACATGTAAAATAAAAATGACAAATCTTTACAGAGAGAGAGAGAGAGAGAGAGAGAGAGAGAGAGAGAGAGAGAGAGAAAGAGAGAGAGAGAGAGAGTGTTCAAGGCCGGTCTCAGCTATTTAGTGAGTTCATCTTAGGTGATATGAGACACTTTAAAAAAGAGAGAGAGATCCAGCTGAGTGGAGGTGACGGACTCCTTTAGTCCCAGCTCTTGGGAGGCAGAGGTGGGCAGATCTCTGTTAGTTCCAAGACAACCAAGGATATACAGAGAAACCCTGTTTGAAAACAAAAAACAAAAACAACAAAAAAAACGAGAGAGGGCTGGACAGATTGGCTCAGTGGTTAAGAACACTGGCTGTTCTTCCAGAGGTCCTAAGTTCAATTCCCAGCACCTGCATGGTGGCTCACAACCATTTATAGTGGAATCTGATGCCCTCTTCTGGCATGCAGGTGTACATGTAGAAAGGGCACTCACATACATAAAATAAATAACTTGAAAAAAAAACAAAAAACAAACAAACAAACAAACAAAAAACCGAGAGGGACATGGTGGGGAGAGAATTGATCAAGTGAGACCACGAGGTGACCCAGACACACTCTCAGATTACACCTTTAGCTTTAAGCGCAGATTCCAGCAATTCCAGAGCACAGAGAGTGGAGCTTAGGAAACGGTACCACAGCCTGCACCATCCAGCCTGCAGGAAACCCACAGACAAGCTGCATCATCCTCAGGACAAACAAGTTGCAGGACTTGGGAGGTGGGGAAGAGACAGGAGAGTGGCAGCAAGTCAGGTAGGATGGGGTGGGTTTTCTTTATTTAAACGTTCACTTATGGTGTATTTGTGTGATGTATATGTGTGGGAAGACGTGATCAGGGGCAGTTTGTGGGAGTAGGTTCTCTCCTCCTCCCAGGTAGGTCCCAGGGTTCAAACTCAGGTTGTCAGGCTTGACAGCAGTCACCTTACCTGTTGAGCCACCTCGATGGTCTGGTTTGGTTTGGTGGAAAGGTTTCATGTAGTCCAGGCTGGCCTCAAACTCAGTTTGTAGCCAAGGATGACCTTAAACCTCTCATCCTCCTGCCTCTGGAGTTCTAGATTTGTGAGTGTGCACTACCACTTGGTTTGTGTGGTGCTGGGGACAGAACCTGTGGCTTTGTGGATGTTAAGTCAAGCTTTCTGACTTAACTGACCTATATCTCTAGTACCTGGACCATGAGTTTAAAAAAAAAAAGTAGAAGATGCACACACACACACACACACACGTGTGTGTGTGTCTCTTCTGCATATATATATGTATGTGTGTGTGCCTTCTGTATATAATATATATATATGTGTGTGTGTGTCTTCTGTATATATATGTGTGTGTGTGTCTTCTGTATATATATATGTGTGTGTGTGTCTTCTGTATATAATGTGTGTGTGTGTGTGTGTATGAAGAACTATTTTCAAAACTATTTTTCAGTGGAAAGAAATGTTGGCTGATACTCGCTTCAGAACAACTGAGGAAGAGAGCCAGTGGTCGCTGCAGGTGGACAGCCTTCCATGGGAGTCCCTTATACCATTCCATCTCTATTGGTTCATTAAACTTCATACTTCTGCATATGTTCACCAAAACAGTCTCTCTTGTGTGTGCCTGATGTTTTAATCTTCTATTAAAGGCGTCTGAATGCGGTTGGAGCCCTTGAAAGGCCTGCGTGTGGGGGCACACCATCCTCTCTCAGCTCCTTCTCCATCAGTAGATCCCTCATCCTGCCACGCCCTCCCATGGCCCCCACTGGCTCCTGTAGTCCCTGATGCTGCCACTGCAGTAGCCTGCTGCCCCCAGGTATCTGCCTCCAGCCCTCTAGTGTGCCTCGCTCTTAGCCAGTGGCTGAGCTCTGGGCTCTACAGAAAGACTCCCCAGGGCCACTTCATCCTCCTGAATGGGCCTCGTCCAGCCCCAGAGGAAGACATGAGGAGAACTTTTGAGACAACACCATGACTCACCACAGCTAATGATTTCCCAGAAGAGTTATGATTGGACACTGGGCTGCTCCCTCCGAAACAGGACTAGGGAAACACACACCCAGCCTGATGCTAATGAGAAACGTGGACAGGGCACCTCCATGGATACTTACCACAGGGCAGGCAAACCCAGATTGTTATTCCTGCCAGCAGGGCTGTTGAGGCAGAGAGAAAGAATAGGTTGCTACCATTGCCTGGAAGATCTAGAACCATGGACAAGGAGTGTCTTGCTTCATCTTTCTATTGCTATAACAAAATATCCAAGATTGAGTAGTTTATAAAGAATAGAAATGTAGCTCATGACTCTGGAAGCCGAGAAGTCCAAAAGCATGGCCCGTCTGTTCAAGGTCTGTATCCTGCATCCTAACATGGTGAGAGCACTGTGTGGCAAACTAGAATAAGCACAGCGCCTGGAGAGAGGCCTCAGCCATCAAGTGCACTTGCTGTTTGTGGTGATTTGAATATGCTTGGCCCATGGGAAGTGACACTATTAGGAGGCGTGGCCTTGTTGGAATGGGTGTGGCCTTGGAGGAAGTGTGTCACTGTGTAGGCGGGCTTTGAGGGCTCCTAGTGTTCAAGCTCCACCCAGTGTGGAAAAGTCAGTCTCCTGGTTGTCTTTGAATGGAGATCTAGAACTCTCAGATCCTTCTGCAGCACCATCTCTGTCTGCACGCTGCCAGACTTCCTGCTATGATGATAACAGACTGAACCTCTGAAACTGTAGACCAGCCCCAGTTAAATGTTTGCTGTTGTAAGAGTAGCCTCGGTCATGGTATTTCTTTACAGCAATGGAAACCTTAGCTAAAACACTGTTTTTGCAGAGGATGGGAGTTCAGTTCCTAGCATCGGTGTCCAACAACTTACCATAACTCTTGTTCCAGGGGATCTGGTGCCCTCTTATGGCCTTCAAGAGTACACACATACACACATACACACACACACACACACACACACACACACATTGGTTGCTCAGGACTCTCCTTATGAAATTACCAATGTTCTCATAGGAGCCCTGCCACATAACCTCATATAGATCTAAGTGACTCTCTTCAATTTTAAAAATTTACCTATTTTTATTATCTATCTGTCTGTCTGTCTGTCTGTGTGAGAGTGTCAGATCTTGGATTACATACAGTGGTGAGCTGCTATGTGGATGCTTGGAATTGAACCCGGGTCGATGAGCCATCTCTCCTGCCCCCTAATTTTTAGAAGACATAGTTCCAAATACCCTTGACCCATGCTTTGAGGGAATTAAAGTGTCTAGACATGAGGGTACATTGAAGGCACAATGGTTACTGCCTCTACAGGACAAGAGCTGTCTACTGACAGCGTTGGTCCAGGCAGAAAGGAAGCCAGAAGACAAACACTGACTCTTCTCTTGCCTTCCCCACCTCGTTCTGGGCCTCCCATTGACTGAGTCTAACCAGAAGCTGGCAGGACGGGGTCCTTTAGACGTTAGACGTTAGACTCTTGGGCCTGGGGATGCAGCTCAGCTGGCAATGTACTTGCCTGACATACACAAAGCTCCAGGTCCTATCACATACACAGAGCAGGTTGACACACTTAATCTCAGCACTCAGGAGGTAGAGGCAGGAGGATAAGAGGTCAGGGCCATCCTTGGCTACAGTGGTGAGTTCAAGGCCAGCCTGATTCATAATATCTTGTCACCAAAGAAGTCTTCTGAGCTCCCAAAGATGAAATGAAGGGAGGGAGAAGGTGTGAATGGAAACAGGCCAACGTGATTGGAGAATGAGTGTCCAGCACTTTGGGTGTGAGTTTGGGCAAACTCAAAGTCCTTGATCAGGGGATGGAGGGTGGTTGGATGGTTAAGAATGTTTGTTCTTGCTGACGACCCTGATCTGGTTCCTAGCACCCCATGGTGACTTAAAACATCCTTAACTCTAGTTCTAGGGCATCCGATGCCTTCCTCTGACTTCCATGGGCACCTGGCACACACACCATGCATATACATGTGTGCTAACAAAACACGCAAACATTTAAAAATAAAAAAAAAATAAAGCCGGGCGGTGGTGGCGCACGCCTTTAATCCCAGCACTTGGGAGGCAGAGGCAGGCGGATTTCTGAGTTCGAGGCCAGCCTGGTCTACCAAGTGAGTTCCAGGACAGCCAGAACTACACAGAGAAACCCTGTCTTGAAAAACCAAAAAAAAAAAAAAAAAAAAAAAAAAAAAATTCTTGATCAGTGTGTCCAGTTGTCCTTGGGACAATGGACAGTAATGAGTAGGCTTAGGGTATGTGTGATGGTTTGTATATGCTTGGCCCAGGGAGTGGAACTATTAGGAGATGTGGCCTTGTTGGAGTAGGTGTGTCACTGTGGGCATAGACTTAAAACCCTCACCCTAGCTGTCTGGAAGCCAGTCTTCCACTAGCAGCCTTCAGATGAAGATGTAGAACTCTCAGCTCCTCCTGCACCATGCCTGCCTGGATGCTGCCATGCTCCTGCCTTGATGATGATGGACTGAACCTCTGAACCTGTAAGCCAGTCCCAATTAAATGTTGTCCTTTATAAGAGTTGCCTTGGTCAGGGTATCTGTTCACAGTGGTAAAACCCTGACTAAGACAGTATGACAAATGAGACACAAAGAAACTGGAACCTTTCCTTTCTTTGAAAGTCTCAATTGGCTGAGGTTGGTCTCAAACTCTCTAAGTGGATGTGTGTGTCCTTGAATTTCTGATCCCTTGGCCTCTACCTCGAAAATGCTTGGATTAAAGGCATGTACCACTATACCACATTATGTGGTACTAGGGATCAGCCCATAGGTTCACGGATGCTGGGCAGGAACTCTGCTGCATCCCCATCCAAGGGTTAGCTTTTCCGTGGTGAAAAGCCCATTAACTCTCCTTCGCTTTGGTCCTGACTCTTGTGTTCCCTTCATCCCAGCAGAGCCCTCCCAACCTCCCAACGGCAGCTGGCCCCCGAGTCAGAACTGGAGTGATGCCGAGACCAGCCCGGCTGCCAGCCTCACCTTCTCCTCCTACTACCAGCACTCCTCTCCAGTGGCGGCCATGTTCATCGCGGCCTACGCGCTCATCTTTCTCCTCTGCATGGTGGGCAACACCCTGGTCTGCTTCATTGTGCTCAAGAACCGGCACATGCGCACTGTCACCAACATGTTCATCCTCAACCTGGCCGTCAGCGACCTGCTCGTGGGCATCTTCTGCATGCCCACAACCCTTGTGGACAACCTGATCACTGGTGAGTATGACCAAGGGGCAGGAGGAAGGCTCTCACCCTTCGCATTCACTTTCCGGCTAAAGGCTGAAGCGGAAGCCGGAGATCACTGAGCCTCTCTGCCGAGGGGCCATTGTCTCAAACTCTGACCGAGAGGTGAATAACACGCCTAATGGGCTAATCAGTTTCTTTGTGCCAGGCATGATGGGGTATATGATTTGTACGTTATCTTAATTAATCCTCAGAATCATCCAACCCAGCATGCTTTGTTATTAGCCTCATTTTATGCATGAGGAAACACCCTGAGAGCAGTCAAGGGACTGGTCTGTAATTACTCAGCTTGGCAGCGTCAGGGCCGATGTGCGCATGCTCCTCTGTCTATTCGTATCTCCTTTGGCCGCGCTCTTGGAGAGAACTAGACAGGGGAGAAGTAGGAGGCAAGGCAACTTTCTTCTGCGCGAAGACGCGGAAATCCACTCCTGCCATGCGTTCTCCCACAGAAGATGCTCTTGTCCCGTAGATAATGATAATTGGCTGGGAGAGTCCGGAGTAGAGACTGTCTGGCCGCTGAGCTGGGATTTGGCAAGAGGTCTTTAAATCGAACTAGATCAAAGCCTCCAAAGTCCCACAGTTGTCAGAATGTCACACACTCGTCTCTGATGATAAAACTGTCTTGTCTTAATATGAGAGTTTGGAGTCCCAAGCTGTGGAGCCCATGCAGGTCTGAGGGGGGGAGATCCCCCAGCTTTCAGAGTTCCCAGCAGTTCCTAGGGAGTCCTCCTTGGCCTGTGTTCCTGCTTTATAGCGGCTCTAGAGATTCAGGCTCAGGGAGGGGAAGCCTGACTGTGTGCAGGTTCCTGGAGCCTAAAGGGAAGTCATGGAGAGGCTTCTGACTGTGAGCCTGGTGGAGACTTTGCTCTCTGTTGAATTCTGAGGCCCGCAGAGATGCCCAATCCAAACTGTACAACCTTCTTCCAGCACCCACAGACAGGCTAGCCCACTCTGCCCTCCAAGTCTCAAAAGGATATTTATGGTATAATTATTTACATGACATTTTCAAAGGCCAAATCGTATTTTCTGTCCCTAGAGATAGCAAATTGACAGAATCATCGGATGGAGGGAGGGTCTGGTGATGGGGGAAGGAGTGGGAACTTCCTGGGGTGATGCACTTTCCCCAGGAACTTCTGTATCTTGGTGGAAGCTGCCTGGCTGCGTGTGTTCCTCAAACCAGTGGCCCTGTATACACCAAAAACTGGGTTTTATTGTTTGTTGAAAATAATTTCAGTGTGAAACATGCCCACATTTTTTTAAGTCCATTTCCATGCTCAGATCAACATGGTGGGTGGCAAGATGGCTGAGCAGGTGAGTGCTTGTTGTCACGATGGTCCCCAAGTTTCATCCCTGAGCCCCATGTGGTAGAAGGAAAGAACCTACTCCTGCAAATTGTCCTCTGATGTCTGTGCATTCTCTTTTTTAGAAAATCATTTTTGAGTATGATGCATGCGTGCACACATGGACACACACACAAACATACACACACACACACATACACACACACGCACACATGCACACTTACACACATGCACACATGCACATCAAATATGATTTTCTTTTTGTTTTTTGTTGTTTTTTGTTTGTTTTTGTTTTTGTTTTTCGAGACAAGATTTCTCTGTGTAGCCCTGGCTGTCCTGAAACTCACTCTGTAGACCAGGCTAGTCTCGAACTCAGAAATCTGCCTGCCTCTGCCTCCCAAGTGCTGGGATTCAAATATGATTTTCCAAAAAAGAGAAGGGCTAGAGAGATGGCTCAGTGGTTAGAGAGACAGCTCAGTGGTTAAGACTATGTACAGCTCGTCAGGGGACCTGAATTGCGTTCCTAGCACCCACACTGGTTAGCTTACAGATGACTAACTCCAGTTCAGGAGATCTAACACCTCTGGGCCTCCATGTGCACACACCTAATCACAGATACACAGATATGCACATATACAAATACATAAAAGTAAGAGTAATCTATAAAAAAAAGGTCATGAAAGACAGGCAATATCTGTGGGCTCCCAGAAGAACAACTCTGCGTCTGGAAGGGAGTCTTTGTTGCTAGGTACTTTTAAAATGGGAGTGTTTGCCTATTCTAGAATGTATGTATGGCTGGGCGGTGGTGGCGCACGCCTTTAATCCCAGCACTCGGGAGGCAGAGACAGGTGGATTTCTGAGTTCGAGGCCAGCCTGGTCTACCGAGTGAGTTCCAGGACAGCCAGGGCTATACAGAGAAACCCTGTCTCGAAAAACCTTAAAAAAAAAAGTACTAGAATGTATGTATGTATGTATGTATGTATGTATGTATGTATGTGCATATGTATGTATGTATATTTAATTTATTATGTATGTATTAATGTGTGTATTTATTTATTTGTTTTTTGAGACAGGTTTCTCTGTGTAGCCATCAAACTAGCTCTGTAGCCTAGGCTGGGTTTGAACTCAGAGATCTGCCTCCTGAGTGCTGGGATTAAAGGCATGTGCCACCACTGCCCTGCTATTTTTAAAAGTTTTTACCTTATTTTATGTGTATGGGTATTTTGCATCTAATGTATAGATGTGCACCCCATGCATCTCTGGTGCCTGCAGAGACTAGAGGGGGGCATCAGATCCCCTCGAACTGGACCTTTAGATGGTTCTGAGCCGCCATGTGGATGCTAGGAACCGAACACAGGTCCTCTGCGAGATCAACAAGTGCTCTTGGCCATGGAGCCATCTCCCCAGCCCCTTGAAACAATTTTAGACTTAAAGAAAAATAGCAGAGGTAGCATAGAATCTTGGCATATGCTTCACTCTCCTTCCCCAATAACCACAATAGAGAGTCAATGCCAAGAGAGAGAAAGTTTCTGTATGCCAATAACTCATCAGGGTCAATGCCGGGAGAAAGCTCCCGCCTGTATCGTGATCACTCATCAGAGTTAGGTGTTTTTTTTTTGGCCTTGGTTTTGTTTGTTTTGGTCTTTTTTAAACTTTCACTAATGTCTCCTAAATGTCATTTTCTAAGAGTTTGACCCACAATTCCAAGAAACACAACCTAAATGCTTTAATCTTGAGTGGTGGAGTCAGGTGTGATGATCTGAATGGACTCAAGAGGGTGAGACAAGAGGCTGGGCTGTGCGGTGACACTGTATCTCAGACAGAACACAAGCATCAGCCACAAGAACATCACAATAACAGCAATGGAACAGGCCACTCAGAGGCCACTTTGACAATAAACTAGGCAACAATAGCTCACTCGGACTGCTGCAAGCATAAACACTCAGGAGCACAAATGACATGCAATGCATTCTGCTCATAATGGGTCTAAAGAGGAGGTTGGGGATGGAGTGCACCCCTCTTTACAGCTGTGGACACCTGGATTCCCATGGCTGCCTTGGTCTTTGTTTTAATGCTCTGAAGAGGCACTGTGACCAAGGCCGCTCTTATGAAAGAAACTATTTAATTGGGCTTGCTTACAGTTTCAGACGTTTAGTCAATTATCATGGTGGCCAAGAGCAGGGCAGCACAGATGTCGCTAAGAGCTGTATCCTGATATACATAGGTAGAGAGAAGAGCTCTGAGCCTGCCATAGGCTTTTTAAAACCTCAGAGCCCACCCAACTGATGATCCAAAAGGCCACACCTCCTAATCCTTCCAATCCTTTCAAAGGGTCATGTCCCGGGTGACTAAGCACTAATATATGAATGAGCCTTTGGGAGCTATTCTTAATCAGACCACCACATTGGCAAACAGCTCAAGTCTTTGGGGGCAGGGGGAGAGCTAGGGTGACTGTCAGATGTTACCCTGTGGTTCAAGCTAGTCTGGAACTGGCTACACAACCAGGCTAGCCTGGCATGTGTGATTCTTCTTGAAACTCTGTCTTCTGAGTTCTGGGAATGGCAGCTGTGTGCCAGCTCACCTGGCTCCGAAGATGTTTGGTCAGCTCCATCAAAACCTTTGATAGGGAAACTCTGTATAAAGTTATAAATCCTGGCTCTAAGGGAAGATCTTGGGAAAGTTTTAAAAAATAACATATTTATTTTTATTTTATGTACATTGGTATGTTTTTGCCTGCACATATGTCTTTGTGAAGTTGTTAGACCTTGAAACTACAGACAGTTGTGAGCTGCCATGTGGGTACTGGGAATCGAACCAGGGTCCTTTGGAAGAGCAGTCTGTACCCTTAACCACTGAGCCATCTCTCCAGCTCCAAGAAATTTTATTTCTCACAAATACAGACATCAAAAAGACATCTCTTCATTGATGTTATTTTAACTTTTTTTTTTCAGACACAGATAAAGTCAGTGTGGCAACAGTGCACACTCTTGGAGCCAAATTTATGAAAGAAGATACATAAATCAGAACTCTCTAAAAGTCCCTGTATAATTTATGTTGCCAGTATCTAACATGGTGTGAAAGTCAAATATCCAAAATTAAGAAAATCTTACTTTGAAAAAAGGAAGAAAGGAAGGAAGGAAAGAAGGAAAACAGGCAGGCATTCTAGCTCTGGAGGGATGGCTCAGCAGTTAAAAATTAAAATTCCCTTGCAGAGGAGCCATGCTCAATTCCCACATCGAGCTGTGTTCAATTCCACCCACATGAAGGTGGATCACAACCTGTAACTCTAGTTCCTGGGATCTCCACCTCCCTCTTCTGGCCACTGCAGGTACTACATGTACATGGTACACATACATGAAGGCAAAACACTCATAACTAAACATGGATTTTTTTTTTAATTGATGAAGTAAAACTTTAAAAAAAAAAGCAAAAAGTGTCAAAATATGAGATTACAAAAAGTTGTACTTCAGGGTGATATTGTAGGCAGCCACACAGAAGTCATGCCTAAGGGCTGGCCCTCACCATCATCAAGCATCTGCTGACCATCTTGGAATGCAGTCAACAGTGCAATGCAGATCTTCCTCTCTTTTCCAGCAACCACTCCTTTTTGTTTCTTTTGTTTTTAATTTTTAAAGAAGATCTACTTATTTTATGTTTGAGCACCGTATCACCATCTACACCTGCAGGCTAAATGAGGGTGTCAGATCCCATCACAGATGGTTGTGAGCCACCATGTGGTTACTGGGAATTGAACTCAGGACCTCTGGAAAAGCAGTCAGTACTCTTAACCTCTGAGTCATCTCTCCAGCCCCTTATTTTCAGGTTTTAAAATGACATTTATTCTTGCTGTGTGTGTGTGTGTGTGTGTGTGTGTGTGTGTGTGCAGTGTGTGTATCTGTTACCTTCTGAGGCATGGGAATGCATGTAGCTTAACACACATGTAGAAGTTGAAGTCAGAGGACAGCTTACAGCAGTATGGGGCATAGATTCTCTTCCACTCTGTGGATCTCGGGAATTAATCTTAGGTTTATCAGGCTCGGTGGCAAGCACCCTTAACCACTGAGCCATATTACCAGTTCCTTTTTGTTGTTTTTGAGAAAACATCTGGCACAGCCTGAGCTGACCTTGAACGCCTAGGTATAGCCTAGGGCAAACTTGAACTCCTCTACCTCTGGAACATTGTAAGTACAGGCCCATGCCCCACGCTTCACTCTCATGCGTGTTCTGTGTTCCTCGCTCTATCCACACAGGCTCACAGTCCCTCCTGAAGACATCCTTACTGTCACAACCCAAACAACGTCTTTCCTGGTTTCCAGGTACTCTGCCTGCCTGACATGACACAGGTATCCTGGGATAGCCTGGGCACATGGATTCTCCTTCCCTAGAGCCCCAGCCTGAAACCTCCATTCTACAGCCTTCCACGGAATTTGAAGCTTTCAGTTTTGGTTTTTAGCGTTTCGCTATTTAGGAGTTTAATATTTCCGGAATGTTGCTTTGGGGAGTTTAGATGCAACCTCTGTGGTGTTCTGGATTAAAACTAGAAACACTTGTCTAACCCAAGGTCAGACGTAGGAGCTCCAGCTGCTTTTAATTGTTTCCTTCCTTCCTTCCCCCACCCCCACCGCAGTGCTAGGATTGAAATTAGGCTTCAACCATAGTTTATCATTAAACTACATCCTCTGTCCTCTTTATAAAAGGACAAAAAAGATATATGGGGCTGGAGAGATGGCTCAGTGGTTAAGAGCGTGCACTGCTCTTGCAGAAGACCAGAGTCTGGGTCCTAGATCACACACATCAGTGTACTCAATTGCAAAGGTTCTTAAGTCCTAGTCTAGCTCCGAGGGCTCCAGGCAAGTACAGAGTGCACACATGGAGGCAAACACTCGTACACATTAAAAAAAAAACTTACTAATCTGTGTGTGTGTGTGTGTGTGTGTGTGTGTATGCGTGGCGTGTTTGAGTGTATGTATGTGCACCACACACGTGTAGGTGCCCATGGAGGTCAGAATCAAATCTCACAGTCCTAGACTTACTTACAGGTGGTTGTGAGCTGTTATTATTGTGGTTGCTGGGAATTGAACCCCAGCCCTCTGCAAGAGCAGCAAGTGCTCTTAACCACTGAGCCACCTCTCCAACCCCTTGGCCTCTTTTTGATTTTGACTTTTGTGTGTGTATGCATATGTACACATGCATGTATGTATACATTCTCTCATGTATGTTCGAGTGTGTGCAGAGGCGCGGAGGCCTGAGGTGGACATCCTCCTGCTTCAGCCTCCTGAGTTGCTGAGATGACAAGTCTGTGCTACCAGGGCCAGCTCACTGGAGTGTTTTCTTAGCTCCCTCTGATCTGCCATAGGTGCTGGCTCACGACATCAACATGTTTGGAAGCTGCTGATTCGTTATTTGCAGTGTGGGCTCTTTTGTTGTTTCCTCTGATGGCTGGACCTGCGCTTTGGTCCTGGGATCCTTGACTCTTGGTGTGGAGGTGACTAGGGCATCTGTAAAACAACCACTTCCCCTTTTCTTTAAAGGACAGATGTACCCCAGTAAAGCTGGAGTCAGGCTGGGTTCTCTAGCACTATAGATGCAACACAGAACCTCAGGGAGATGTTCTTTTGGTCCAGCACTTGGGGTGGGGGAGCATAGCTAGTCTCAGTCGGAGGCCTCTGCCGGTGAGCAGTCTCAGGCTGTAAACATCCTAAACATCTGGGAAGATGTTGCTAGTCTTTTCATACATTGGTCAGTCAGTCATAAACACTCTGGAACCAAGCCTGGTGACACACACGTATAATCCCAGCACTCAGGACACAGAGGCAAGCAGATCTCTGAGTCCGAGGCCAGGCTGGTTTACAGAGTGAATTCCAGGACAGTCAGGGCTACACAGAGAAGCCCTGTCTCGGAAAAACAAAACAAGAAAAAAAAGGAAAAAACATTATATTCTGATTTGTGGGGAGCGTGGCGCCAAGCGTTCCTCTTGGGCCTGGCATATATGGGTAATGGCTTTGCCAGTGCCCCATAGGTTCAAGCTTTGGAGCCTGGACATGGCTGTGCCCACGTCAACAATATTCATTTACTCAGCTCTTCACTCCTTCCGTGCTTCCTCTGCTTCCCACACCTTGATTGGATTCAGTTGAGCTGTTCAGGGGAGAGCAGCGTGGATCCGTGGGCAAGGCACAGATGAGAGGAGAGTCTTTTGTTTGAATGCTTAGGTAACTGCTGTCTCTCGGCTGTGAAGCCAGCACTCCCCCCTTCCTAATTATGAACTACTCTACGGGGTGATCCTCTGAGACCACGCAAATGTCACGGCTCGTTATATTTCTGTACCGACTTCGTAGTGTTGCAGCCCACAACAGAGCTTCCTTCCCATCCTGTTCCGTCTTAATGAGATTCACATTCTCTGTACTTACTAATTGGCTCTCTGCTTCCTGGCTTTTAATCCAACATGATTGTTTATTTTGTTGTTTAACTGCTCTAGGTCTGCCTATTGGAAAGCTCACTGCGGCTGGCTTCTGTGTGCCCTTCCCATACACTGGCGTCATGTTTGGAGTGTTTCCTTCCTTCCTAGTTCCACAGAATGTTCTAGATCACCTCGAGTTGTTCTTACATCAGCCCTGGAATGAACTAGTTCCTTTAAAAGCCTTGTTTCCTTTGATTGGCGTACATTAATTATTTCTATTTTATGCGCATGCGTGTTTCGCTTGCATACATGCGCGAGTATCATGCACATGCCTGATGCCCACAGAGGTCAGAAGAGGGCGTCAGGGCTCCTGGAACTAGAGAGTTATGGATGTTGTGAGCCACCATATGGGTGCTGGGGACTGAACCAGAGTCCTCTGCAAGAGTAACAAGTTGTCTTAGCTGCTGAGCCATCTCCACAGGCCAAGGAGTATAATATTTATAAGCAAAGATTTGACTTCCAGGGGTTCTTCTCAGTGTTCGAGTGTCTTGATTCTAGACTAAAGGGACAGAGCTGAGAAATGCATGCATATTGCCACAGAGTTCTTTGACACGTGTCTTTTATTTTTTTGAGACAGGGTCTCACATGTAGCCTTGGCTATCCTGGAACTCACTATGTAGCCCAGGCTGGCCTGGAACTCAACAGAGATCTGTCTGCCTCTGTTTCCCAAATGCTGAGATTAAAGACATGTGTCACCACACCCAGCTATGCCTTTACTCCTGTGTCTAGCCATTTGCCTGTATTTCAGAAACCGTGGTCTATAGTAATACTTTGGATTCCAATCCGATATCAGAAAATGTATTTTAACCCACCCTCACCTCCCTTATTTGTAGCTTTGTTCTCAGTGAGAACACACATCTTTGCTTATCTACAGCCTGTTTATTTACCTGTTTGGTCCACTTCAGTATAAGAGTGTGATAATAACATATACACTATGGATATATGACAATAATGACAGGATAATAATAACTTGGAGGAAGGGATGGCCTCCCTCCTGGGCTGGTTAATAGGCTCCAGACATCAGGCAGGGCTAGAAGGTCATAGAGACAATCAGCTGTCAACTAAAGGCCATCTTCCTAAAAGCAGTGTTGACACTGGTGGACTGATTGACTCCTCGGTGACGGTCACAGAGACCTCGTGACCCCTCACAGCACAAGAATTAATGAGCCATGTTCCGGAAGGCATTGGCTAGGTGGCAGGTGCTCTGCATCTTTCACCCTGTGGGGACCTCTGTCTTTACAGGTTGGCCTTTTGACAATGCCACATGCAAGATGAGCGGCTTGGTGCAGGGCATGTCCGTGTCTGCATCGGTTTTCACGCTGGTAGCCATTGCTGTGGAGAGGTGAGAACCTTCCCTGGGTAATTCTGGGTAATTCTGGGGCTGGCACGGAGAAAGGGGATACCTCTAACACTGGGCTAGCTGGAAGGCCAAAGGAGAGATCTGCTGAGAATACCACCCCATCCCTTTCTGGGAGGGGAGGCCACTCCTGACAAGATCTCGTAGTAATTTCTGGGGTCTGCTAGAAGCTTAAGGCAGTCTGCATCCGGGGCATCGGGAATCCCACCTCTCTCCTTTGTTTGAGTCCTGGGAGCTAGAGCTGGAGGACCCTGTCTGCAGACAGACTTGGCATAGCTGGAAAGGATGGGTCCTTTTCTGTTTCTTTATCCCAGCCACTTGCTGGTTCCTGGAAGCCCTGGCTTTACTTAGTCTGCATGTCAGTCACTTCTGGTCATTCAGCCTCCGCCTCCAGCAGAGGTAGATTAGGAATTGCTCTGGGTTATAAATAGTTCTGTACGGGTGGCAGGAATTGTAGCGGTAAAATGGTAAATGTCTCACTGAGAGGCTGGAGGCTTCAAACAACTGTGTTTAAAAGCGCACGGACAGCTTTTAGCCCCCAGTGCAAACTGCAGCTAATACCGCCATTTCTTCCACATACCGGCATCTTCCCTTTGGTCTCTCTCTCTCCAGCCCTTTCCAGCTCTGCTCTTTCTAGAACCTACTGTTCCCATCTCCTCCCCACCTCTGCCCCCACCAAAGTCCCTTTTTATTGCTTTTGTTAGGCTAGCCTTAAACCCATTATGTAGTCGAGGATAACCCTAAACTCCTGATCCTCCTCACTCTGCCTGGTCCTAGGCTTACAGGCATGCCCCACCATGCCCCATTTTACTTGATGCTGGGGATTGAACTCGTGGCTTTTGTGCATACTCTATATGTCCAACCCAGACTCCTACCTCCGTGAGATACGCAGCTGGCGTGACAGCTGGGTACCTCTCTCTCCACAAAGCCACTAACTATAGCTGGGTTATGGGAGCTGCTGTCCCCTCTAACTTAATTTTGTTTTTCCCTTTCCCTTCTCCCGTTCACTTCACCCCAAAGGTTAGTTAGTTAGTTAGTTATTATATGTAAGTACACTGTAGCTGTCTTCGGACACCCATATGAGGGCATCAGATCCCATTACAGATGGTTGTGAACCACCTTGTGGTTGCTGAGATTTGAACTCATGACCTCCGGAAGAACAGTCCATGCTCTTAACCTCTGAGCCACCTCACCAGCCTTCTAACTTAATTTTTATCATTATCTTTTTAGTTGTGAGCCTTAGTTTTTCCAGGAGTGATGAACCATTTCTTCAGCCCTCAACCGTTATTCTTATCATTGTTGAATAACATGAGGATGTAAAACCCCTCCCAGTCATAGTTTATCCAGCTCCTCTGCCTCCAGGAAGCCTTTCCAAAGCATCCCAGGAGTTTCCTCCACCTAGAGATTGCCACTGAGTTGCAGATCGGTACTTTGAGAGTTCTCCAGTGTCTGATGCTATGAAACCAGAAGGACAGGGTGGTACAGGCTAAGGCAGCGAGGTGTGGCTGGACCGTGGGAAAGGGGACAAGTGCTTTCAGGCTGGGATAACAGAGTGGGCAGGAGGGCAGGACACAGGTGAGCGACTGTGACCAGCAGTCATTGACACACCTGCAGTCTAAGCAGGTTCTGCCCTAAAGAGCCTTGTGGACTTGTAAGGGAGCGCACCTCTTCCCTTCCACTCGCCTGACCGGCAGTCTTCAGGAGGAGTGTCTCTGTTTTCTCGTACAGGTGGTTTCTCGTACAGGTGGGGGAGGGAAGGCATTCTGGGAAGTAGGACATCCTCCTTTCTTCATTCCTTCTTTTCTTTCTTCCTTTCTTTTTAAGATGTATTTATTTATTTTATGTATTCACCATTGCTCTCCTCAGACACACCAGAAGAGGGGCCATCAGACCCCATTACAAATTGCTGTGAGCCACCATGTGGCTGCTAGGAATTGAACTCAGGACCTCTGGAAGAGCAGTCAGTGCTCTTAACCGCTGAGCCATCTCTCCAGCCCTTTTGTTTCTTTCTCACTGTGTGTTCTTGTTTTACGGTTTTTGTTTGTTTGTTTGAGGGAGTGTCTGTCAAACAGCCCAGGCTGACCTTGAACTCCTGATCCTCCTGCCTCTGCTGCCCAAGTACATTTTTGTTTTGTTTGTCTGTCTGTTTTCCTTCATTCACGATGCCTCCAGATTGTGGTGGTCTCAGTTCATCTTCAACACCCTACAGAGCAGGGAGGATTACAGACGGGCTCCATTCAGGAGATAAGGAAACCAAAGTCCAGAAAAGCCTTTGAGCAACTGGCTCTTCCAGTCACCCATTCCGGAACTGATCTACACCCATTTTTGGACACTTGTGTAACACTCACTTTTGAGATGCAGTTGAACAATGGCTTTTATTTAAGCCACTGCAGGGGGCGGCCTCCACCTCCCCCCAGCAGCTCCCAGCCCTGCCTACTTAGAAAAGAAAGTGCTAAAACCCCTTAACTCCTTCCCAGAATAATTACGGTGGAGACAGTTTTTTTGTTTTGGTTTGGTTTTTTCCTTGCAGTTTCAGGAGAGGCTATGCAAAGTTAGGCTTTAACAGATTTCCAAGGTAGTCCTTGTTACTTGATGGGTATGTGATCGAGTACCAGTTGCTTCACACCTTGGGGGACTTTTCCTAATGTCAAGTAAGGGTGAAAGGTGAAACCGAGGCAGACAGGTTAGCAGTTCAAGGTCATCCTCTGTAACACGGGAAGTTCGAGGGCAGTCCAGGCTGGAGACCCTATTTCTAAAACCATAAATAGATTCACAAGGGCTTGACAAGAGTTATTGCTGAGCTGGTCTAACAAGGAAAGGCATGCTGCACGCTTACTTTCTTACAGTGAGGTATGCACTGTTGTACCTGGCCGTTCTCACGCAAGAGGAGGAAGGCAGGATGCAAGCTAAATGAATCTGAAGTTTTTACTGAGCCACACGGGGATCGAACACTTGTGACTACAAGTGTAAAGAGGCAGCCCCGAGCTGAGTGAGTGGAGGGATACAAAGGCCAAAATCACAAGTGTGGTGAATCCTGTTGACATAGCTGTGATGGTTGTTAGCAAGCATGACAAGATAGGAACTTTTTTTAAAAATTGATTTATTTTCACGCCTTTAATCCCAGCACTTGGGAGGCAGAGACAGGTGGATTTCTGAGTTCGAGGGCAGCCTGGTCTACAGAGTAAGTTCCAGGACAGCCAGGGCTACACAGAGAAACCCTGTCTCGAAAAACCAAAAAAAAAAAAAAATTTTTTTTTAATTTATTTTAAGTATATATGAGTACACTGTAGCTATTTTGAGACACACCAGAAGAGGGCATCGGATCCCATTCCAGATGGTTGTGAGCCACCATGTGGTTGCTGGGAAATTGAACTCAGGACCTCTGGAAGAGCAGTTCGCGCTCTTAGCCACTGAGCCATCTCTCTCCAGCACTAAGGTATACACTTTTAATAAAAACAGGGCACAGCTGTGTGATCGAGGTATCTCTGTTTGACCAGGGAGCAGAAAGGCTTGCGGTTACAGACGCAGAACAACACAGGTTAGCAAAAGTTTCTGCTTGTACAGTTAAGTGCCTGAGGGCCTGGCTGACCTCACGTTTAACCGGAAGGCCAGTCAGGATTTAACAAATAGTTTTTCTCACTTCAGAATAATGGTTAAGAGGACCCAGGGGTGGCCTGTCAATATGCTCCACCACTGATCCGCCCCCCAATCCCAGCTCCTGAGGTTTTCAGGGGAATCGGTAAACAGCTAAAAATGACACCTGTTACATTTGTGTTGCCCTCGCTGGTCAAGTGGTTCAGTGGACAAAGGGGTTACTGCCAAGCCTCTTGACCTGGATTCAGTCGCTAGGACCACATGGTGGAAAGAGATTGCTGACTGTTGCCAAGTTGTCTTTTGTGTGGAGAGGGAGAAAGGGCTAGAGGGAGGGAGAGGAAGAGTTAAGCACTAAATAAATGTTTTTCAAAAAGCCTTAGCCTGGCAGTGGTGGCACACGCCTTTAATCCCAGCACTTGGGAGGCAGAGGCAGGTGGATTTCTGAGTTCGAGGCCAGCCTGGTCTACAGAGTGAGTTCCAGGACAGCCAGGGGTATACAGAGAAACCCTGTCTCGAAAAACCCAAAAAAAAAAAAAAAAGCCTTTGTATATTCGCCTAGTCAGGCTTCCCAAACACAGACTGGCTGAGATGACCGCTACAGAATAAAAGAAAAAGAAAGAAAAGGAAAGCCTGTGACTGCTCCTAGGTATGGTGGAGGAGAAAGCTTATTATAGATATGAGAACAGCCAGAGGCAGGCACATCTCGGAGAGTCCGGAGTGGTCATGAACCTGAACCATGTGGGGAAACAGGGAGGGGAAAGAGGGAAACCAAGTACAACAGCGAGGACAAAGGTGCGAAAGGAAGTGGGGGTCGCCAAAAATGTCCGGATTATATAGGGAAGAGCCTCTGAGGGAAGGGAAGCCGGGTTCCAGGGCTGGAGAGTTCAGGGTAGCTAGCCATCTAGACATACCCTGTAACAGGTAGGACCGAGGGATGCTGGGAGATCTTGGTGGCCAGGTCCGCTTTGATATGGTAAATTGGAACCTCAGGAGCTTGTCCTGGGTTGAACACTTAACACTGCCAGCTAACCCGTCCTAAAATAAAGATCTAAGCTTCTAGTGAGAGGCTGTTTCTTCCTCTTCGTCTATTCCGCTAGGCTAAATCCACCTAAATCCAGCCTGGGCTCCAGAACAATTTAGCCGGACAGAGCTGCCTCCTTCGCTATTGACAAACCAATTTACTTGTAAAATAACCTGATTATTGTCTAAGCTGTCCCGGGATGCTGCCTAAGTGTAGTGATGTATGTCAGGTGTATTCCAGTAGCACCAGAAACTGCCTCAAGGAGGATGATGAAAGTCAGTGTCCTCTTCCAGTAATCCCTAACCAGGTCAGCTCTGCCCTCCTGGGCCTCCAGGGACCCTCCCAGACGCCTCTGCTTCTCCTCCCACCCCCGGGCTGCAGGTTCCGCTGCATCGTGCACCCTTTCCGCGAGAAGCTGACCCTCCGGAAGGCGCTGCTCACCATCGCGGTGATCTGGGCTCTGGCGTTGCTCATCATGTGTCCCTCGGCGGTCACTCTGACCGTCACGCGAGAGGAGCATCACTTCATGCTGGACGCTCGCAACCGCTCCTACCCGCTCTACTCGTGCTGGGAGGCCTGGCCGGAGAAGGGCATGCGCAAGGTCTACACCGCCGTGCTCTTCGCGCACATCTACCTGGCGCCGCTGGCGCTCATCGTGGTGATGTACGCGCGCATCGCGCGCAAGCTGTGCCAGGCCCCCGGTCCAGCGCGCGACGCGGAGGAAGCGGTGGCCGAGGGTGGCCGCGCGTCGCGCCGCAGGGCCCGCGTGGTGCACATGCTGGTCATGGTGGCGCTCTTCTTCACTTTGTCCTGGCTGCCACTCTGGGTGCTGCTGCTGCTCATCGACTACGGAGAGCTGAGCGAGCTTCAGCTGCACCTGCTGTCCGTCTACGCCTTCCCCTTGGCACACTGGCTGGCTTTCTTCCACAGCAGCGCCAACCCCATCATCTACGGCTACTTCAACGAGAACTTCCGCCGCGGCTTCCAGGCTGCCTTCCGGGCTCAGCTCTGCTGGCCTCCATGGGCCGCCCACAAGCAAGCCTACTCCGAGCGGCCCGGCCGCTTCCTGCGCAGGCGGATGGTGGTGGACGTTCAACCCAGCGACTCGGGCCTGCCATCAGAGTCTGGCCCCAGCAGCGGGGTCCCAGGGCCTGGCCGGCTGCCACTGCGCAATGGGCGTGTGGCCCACCAGGATGGTCCGGGGGAAGGGCCTGGCTGCAACCACATGCCCCTCACCATCCCAGCCTGGAACATTTGAGATGGTCCAGAGAGGAGGGGTCCAGTAGGCCGGTGGCCCTGCCCCTTAACTATGATGCCCAAGGCACAATAGCAGTATTAGAAGAAGGTGCCAAGATTCCTCCTTGATAAAAAGCCGAGACAGTGAGGGAGAGGTGACAAGGTCTCACCGTTGGGAATCCCACTTGACCCAGACTCCAGTGAGTCTCCCCAGGAAAAATGTGTCACTGGGTGGTTAGGAAGAGATGACCTCTGTCTACACACTGAGCCCCTGTGATGGAGTCCCCTGTGCTGTGTTGCCGAGGCAGCTCCCCTTGGCCCTTCAATTCCTGGGAAACGTCCAAGCTCTCCTTGCCAGTGTTTTACTTGGTTTGTTTTATTCCGGGAAGTGTCCAGGGTCATACCCATTTCAGCATGTCACAACTGAGCAGCTACAGGAAGAACCCTAGGAAGCCCATTTAGATTTTGGGGACGCTCTGGGTTGAGCCTAAGAGAGACTCCCCTCCCCTTACCTCCACCACCCTAAAGCCAGACAGAGCTTCCGGCAGTACCAACAGCTCATGGGTCCCAGGCAAGGGGGTTTAAGGAAGACAGCACAGTGTCAACTCTCCCCTCTGGAAATACCTTAACGGGCCTGTGAGCATGACCTTCGTCTGGACATTTCTTCCTTGTTTACTGGGAAGGAGATGCTGGTCAGCTGGGATGAGGGGAGTCCCCTGCAAGGCAAACACAAACCCTTCCACAGTGCAGAGGAGAGCAGGAGAGCCTGCATGCATCCCAGCTCTCACCCAGTAGGTCTGCCATCATCTTAACAGATGCATGCACCTCAGCTGTCACCCAGTAGGCCTGCAATCATCTTGATAGATGCATGCACCTCAGCTCTCATCCACCGTGGCGGAGCAAAGCTTCTCTCCAGGAGATGAGGAAATGGCTTGCCCCTGCCGATTTCTCCTGCAGTTTCAATAGTGTGCACTTAACTGGACACGTTCTCACCTTCATTACCACAGTTGCCAGAAATCTTAGGAATTAAAAAAAAAAAAAAAAAGGGTGAGATTTCTGGGATCTGGGGCTCTGAGCTCTTACTGGTTCCTTAACACGCTCTGGCTGGCCCTTTGCTGTTCCTAGGTCTGTCCTAAGCCAATGGCCACGGCGGCAGAAGAAACTGCCTCACGGTTTGGATGTACATGTCCAACCATGTCTCTGAACACCGTCATCTGACTCATAAAATGTTCTTGCCATTTCACAAGGTGACTGAGGCCCAGTAGGGCCAGGGTCACAGGGCCACAGACAGCAGTGTCTGGATTAGGCTTACCTTGGATGGCTTGAACTATATCCTGCCTTTCAGAGAAGGTGGGCATGGCGGGGGAGGGGGGACTTCTTGTCTAAAGATGAAAACGAACGCCAAGGAATGAATCTGAGTACTAGTGCAGGGGCAGGAAACCATCTCCATTGTGTTGGCCTTGTGACTTCCGGCTTATATTACTATACTGAGGAGTCTGCCAAGCTCCCAAACGCATGGTGCTGCCTGCTCCGGGAGCCTGGGAGTTACAAGTGTAGGCAGGTGAGAGGTGGTCTGAGTTGGTACTCTGCAAGGCCCTCAATGCTGGTACTGTATTAGTATGACACAGTGGCCTGAGAATTGCCGGCTGTTTACCCAGAAGACTTGTGACTCTGGGCTCTAAAAATAGGCCAGACCAAGGACCGTGTCAACCTTGTCCCTGTGTCCCCTGGGAGCTTTGGGAGTTACAGTCTGCTCTCTGCCTTGGCCTTTCAGCGTGGCCTCCTGGAGACAAAATCACAGCTCTCCTCAGAAATCCTGTCCACCAAGGCCTCTGCCTTAGTTTCCCCAGACTCTCCACTTTGAGAGTCCATGGTTTCCGAAACCTGACACAGGCGGCAGTCCCTGTGAATCGTTGTCCTTGTCTTTACTTGAGTAAGAGCAGAGGCAGCACCTGCCTGCCCGCGGGCTTGGTCGGAATACTGACAGGCACGTCTCAAAAAGCCGGCAGTGTGTGAATGCTGGGGGCTTGTTTCTTTGTACATGTGTTAAAATACACCCGTGCACAAACTTCCCCGTTAGCTGTTTTAAAGTGAACAACAGTTCAGGGGCACTGAGTATTCATGTTGCAGTGTAACACACACTCTTTCTAGCACTGTATTAGCCTAAATGGAAACTGGATCCATAGATCCCAACTCCCCATCCCTGCTCCTCCCCGCTTCTCTCAGCCACTGTCCTTTCTCTCTGAATTTGACACTTCTGTGGTTCCTTCCCTACAAATGAAAACACTCAGTATTTTTCCTTTTGTGACTTTTACAACACAGGCATACCTTTCAAGCTCCACTCGTGTTGTTGCCTGGGTCAGAATTCCATTCCTTTTGTGGCTAGACACTATTCCATTGTGTGTCTATGTGATATCTTTCTTCAGCAGTGTGTTCTTGTTTCTGGTTCAGCTGTTACAACTCACTATGTATGCATGGGGGGGGGGGTGTTAGATAATAAACCCATGTCTTGAAAATAATACTTGTGTGAGTACCGAGAATGGAGACCCCCAACACTTGTCTCGACTTGACATTTAGGGGTAACCAAGCCTTTGCTCAACCCAGCTGCTCTGCGTCCCCCTCTTCTGTGTTCCTTCTTGGTTAGAGAATAAAAAAAAATTGTATGTTCTGTTCACAAGATATTTGTATGATCCTTTTTTTATAACTGTACCTTGGTCAGCCTCACGAGATCACTGCGTCCTGACACGTGGGTCTGAGCGCGCCTCTTGTGCCTGCAGCACTCAAGTACAATCAAGGAAGACCTCCCTGAGCAGCCGTGTTCCATTTGTGACCCGTCAGGTCTCCTGAGGTGACTGTTCCTTTCATGGATGGAAAGTTTGGAGATGACCAGTCTGTGATGGGGAAGGGAACCCAGAGACCTGTGTGCATTGAGAGCCCTACCCAAGGGGGCTCTTAGAGGGACACCGCATCCTTCTGTGCCATGTGCTACAAGGGTACTCCTTCTCCAAGTGGTCTCCACAGATGAATGGGCTCTTGACTTGGCCAAGACCATGCGAACACATCTGACCAATGTGTGGGAAGGCGGTGCCCACCAGGGCCCACAAACCACAGACTGGTCAGCCTTGGGCCGCCAGCTTTCTCTAGGGGCCTGGAGAATTCATGGGCTGACTTGGGTTGGAATAGAAGGTGGAACTGGCAAAAGCAGCCAGGAGCCCCCCTATCATTAAGCTACTGTGCATTCATCCCGAAACCAGGTGCGAGCCAAGCCCTGGGCTGGAAGGACAAAGCATTGCTATTAGACTCTGGACCTCTTTGTACCCTTTTCCTCAGCTCACCTTTCAGAAGTGCCATTGAGAAAAGACAGATGAGAAAGAGGTGACCGGCGGCTTCATCGCAAGCAAACAATGTTGAAGCAAAACAGATTCCTTGGTGAATAACCCAATTACCGCTGGCTGCTTGTTTCTTTACAAATGTTCCCCTGCAGAAGCATGGTGGAAATTTCACAAAATATAGATAAGCAAAGAAGAAAAAGCAAAGCACTTCAACTGTGTGGGAGACACACATTCGGTTTGTGAACATAGGTGTGTATATATTTAAATTTTTTGAGCATCCTTATGGGGGGATACCACATGCTATGATTCACCTGTCTACTCTGACCATTCAGGGCATCTTAGCAATTGTATATTTGGTTCGCCAAAGATATTTTCATCCTTCTGAAATGCTCCATCATGCTCCTTCTCCCTGATCCCAGAAAATCACCCCTCTCTCGTGATTATGGAATCAGACCATGGACAGCATTTTGAGCCTGTCTTCTTTCATTTGACAGGATGACTGAGGTTTGCTCACCTCATAGTATTTCTCAGTTTCTTCCTTTTTTTGAGGCTGAGTAGTACTCCATTGCGTTCTGTGTTGCGACACGGTCTTATCTGCTCACCAGGTGACCATGATTTGGGTTAGCAATTCGATTATCATGGGCGAAGCTGCTGTGGTCATTCCTGCACACGCCCTTCCACATAGACATATGTTCAGTTGTCTTGGTGAATAGGGAGGGGGTTCCTGGGATGTGCTCTGTGTATATACATCTGTCTTCTCGAAATGGCACATTCTAGCATTATTGTTTGTTCTCACAGGCACTGTAGTTGAGTTATAATTGTTCTCTTTTTTTTTTGCCAACCCTTAGGATTATTGTTCTTTTTAAAGTTCTCCTGATGAGTAGTGATGTTAGGTATCTTCTCATGTGCCTACTGACCGTCCTTTATGGCTTTTTATTTTAAGCAACAATTTTTAAGTTACTTGGTGTTGTGACATCGTAACTGACCAAGGCAACTAAAGGACGGGAAAGGTCGTTCTGGCTCACGGTTTATAGGTGCAGTTCAGTATGGTGAGAAGTTATGGTAGCAAGAGTGGTCCAGCTATGGTGAAAGAGGATGAGGCTGCTGGTCACACTGCATCTGCATCCAGGAAGAAGAGAAAGATGGATGCTGAAGGAGAAAAAGATGGATCCTGGAGTTCTGCTTGCTCTCTTCATATTCCCTGTTTATTCAGTCAGAGACCCCAGCCCATGCATGAAGCTCCCTCCTGAGTTAAACCTTGCTCCTTGCTGGAAGCAACATCACTTACACACCCTGAGGTGTGTCTACCAGGTGATTCCTGATCCAGTCAAGCTGACAAAGGTTAGCCCTCATAATTATTATTATCTTGGTTTCTAGTTGATGTATATGAATACACTGTAGCCTCAGACACACCAGAAGAGGGCATCAGATCCCATCACAGATGGTTGTGAGCCACCATCATGCTTGCTGGGATTTGAACTCAGGACCTCTGGAAGAGCAGTCAGTGCTCTTACCCTCTGAGCCATCTCTCCAGCCCAATTATCTTGGTTTCTAAGACTCTCATTTCACTAGGTAGCCCTGGCTGGCTTTGAACTAACTAAATGCCACAGGCTGACATTACAGGCCTATCATCAAGAATGGGTCTATACAGCCTCAAATTCTAGTACTTGGGAGGCGGAGGCAGGTGGAT